AGATTCTTCAGCATAGTTCTGGCTCTATGCAACTTCTGGCAGAAGTCATCTGATTACTGGGACTGTGGTTTCAACCATACTAATGACATCAAGTCTACATTTCATTTATATAAGAAACAGAGGCCTATCTGGGTGCATTCTGAGTATTCTTTAAAGGCAGCTTTGAAAACATTTATTGGAAAAGAGGCATCATTGATTTAGACTAAGTTTATTTCAGGTGCTTAAGATGATTTCACATATTATTTGGACTATAGATATACATCTGTAAAATGTGTTTATACCTGAAAGGTAGTAAGTGAGAGTCATAATTTTGCTTTTATGACCGTATGGACACAGTGGCTTGAACCCAAAGATGAATGAAGTTCATGTACTCTCCCACTCTGCAGCCATGGACAGTTCTTAAAACAACAACAACCCATCGGGATGCGCAATGAGCCCTCCTGAAAAAGATGGGATGCTATCTTTCTGCGGTGACTGCTAAGGGAAGGGAGAATTACCTAAGAAAGTTAATGGACAGTTTCCTGTTTACACCTTCTTCCTATAGTTTTTGTATTTATCCCATATGGTTAAGAGGGTCCCATACCCTTCAATGGAGGTGGGACTGCAGGTGGTTACAAAGGGGAGGAGGAAGAGATGTAAAACTTTCCTTGTTTGTGCACAAAGGAATGCATCACAAGAACCAAGTCAATGTACACAGGATGTACAGATTTATGACTCTCCTTGGTCAGTAGATGCATCCATTAGTAAAATTATGAAAATAGAAATACAGCTCATTCATACCTGTTACAGAAAACACTATGGTTATATGTGTTTTGTAGAGGCATATGTCTGTTACATTCTGTAATATGTTCAGGTGCTATTCTAGTAGAAAGAAACTTTATTTTCAGTGGACATTGCTTAGGTTTGTCGGAACTGATGTAAAAACTGCAAGAGAAACTCAGTTTGAGATTCTTTCCTCCCACGAACAGGCTAACTAATATGAGGGACATAACTTTATCATTGAATAAGAACATCAACAATACAAGTCATAATCCAGCATTTATCTAAGTATTATGTACAAAGAACCCCAATCACAGGAATAAACTGCAATAAACAAATAGCGACAAAACACCATTCCAAAGTATTTTTTAGGAGAGCAGCCAAATTCTAATCTGGCAAAATTGTATGACGACAGCTGATCTAACACATCCCAAACTGGCTTTTATTCATCTTAGTTTTTGGCTGCAGAAAGAACAGTCTTGGCATAATTAAATATATTAATAATAATGTAATAATTTGATACTGTCAAGCCAATTACAATTTATGGTAATCCTTCTCAGGATTTTCTAGGTATAAAGTACTCAGAAGTGGATTAACACTGTCTGCTTCTGAGGATGCTGCAGCACTATGTAGCTTGTCTATGACCATATAGTTTGGTTTTTCTCCCAGGAAGCACAGTGAGGAATTAAATTCCCAACATCTGGCTCTACAGCCAGGTCCTCTGACTCTGTGAGCTACCCAGCCAGTTAGTTAAGCATAGCAGGGAACTAGAAATCTAGCTAGATTCATGCACTGCTTTTAAATATACAGTATTAATCATACAGGGATACAAACTCAGAGTGCAATTTGTTTGTTACTTTTCATGGTTCATGTGCAAAACCTGGCCTCTTCTCTCTTTTGATGAAAATGAAGTCCTTGGTTCACTCAGTTTTTTGTGTATATTGAAATGCTTTGTCCCCATGACTAATGTACAGTATTCACCTTCTGATTATACTACTCTCTTTGCTGTTCCCTAAGTGATTTATTGTAATCTCCTTACAGTGTTTTTATAGACTTGTAAACAATCTCCGGTGCCCTCTCTCCTGTTGCCCCTTCCAATATCAAAAAGTATAGTCCATCCCCCTTTCTTTCTTGAGGCTTTCTTAATGCTAGATCATCTACTTACATCTGGCTCCTTTTGCTGATGTACACCACCTGAAACAAACAATCTCTGACTGACTTAATAAAGTTAGCTTGTAAGAAATGAGCAGAACAGTTAATTATAGGACCTTTTGGGCATTGTTAATTCATAGGGTTCCCATAAAGCGACTTGACAGCGTATAACAACAAGCACCAAATCAGTGGTAAGCCTCTGAATGTCAGCTGGTGTGAGATGTTCAACAAAAGGAGACAGTTGCCTTCATGTTGTGGCTTGGGATTCCCTGATGAGGCATATAGTTGGCCATAGTCGGAAACAGATTGCCAGAATCAGTGGCTCTTCAGTGGCTTTAATCATGTTAACTGGTGTTCTCAATAAAAGACGTAGGCAAAACAAACGGGCAAGGAACAAACCAGACTCTATATAAAGCAACAATTTAAATAGTTATAGTTATCATTCTCAGTCAGCAGAACCAGAGTGCAAGCACTATTACAAGAAACATACTTAAAATTATGGTTATTTAGTTAACAAATCACAGGGGAAGAAAAAGTATCTTCATGCTATCGGCAGCAGACTAGCTGACAGCAGTGAACTGTCAGATATAGTCAAGGAATGGCTACCAAGCTGCTATTTATATCAGCCCAATGGGCTGGAATTGACCAACTTGGCTATGAAACACTCAACTAGACCTCTCATTAGGCAGCTGGAGATCCTCCTTATACAGGCAACAAGCTCTATATTTCACAAAGCCAGACAACTGGAATGCTGCTCAACCATAAAGTAATTATTCAGTTCATGAAACACACTGCTGTAAATCCCCCCTAAGATGCAAAGAGGCACAATATAACCCTCTTCATACTGACTACAATCTTTAAGGCCACATAGAAGCCTTTTATAGCCAGAAGTCCTCTGTTATTTCCCTAATGGGACTGGAAGAGTCACATAACAAAGCATAGGAAACATGTTGGAAATAAGACACTGGGGTTTCTATCATCCCAAATGTAAGCCACTGTGCAAGAGATGCAAGCTGTCCTCAACAGATACATTTGTTCTGGAAATGAATTTCCTATCTCTTACATGCCTTTCCTTCTCCAGCAGACAGGCTGGAAGGCAAAATTATTGGCTGCCTAAATAGACTTAAACCTCATTTACTGAGAAATGGCAAAGAAAGCACCTCAGACTCAAATCATTTAAACAGGAAAAAATCAGGAAGAAATATCCTTAATTTTTAGCCATTGTTGGTCATACTAATGATTCCACTATCTTATACAGCAAATAGACATGTGCCTTCCTATTGACCAAATTTTATCAGTTTTTTCTGTCTTTGGCAGTATTAAGATCGTTGAACATTTTGCAAGAAAGTCAAGACTTGGTGATATTCAAATCTGACATTAACTTATATGGCTTTGGTTAGTTGTTTTCTAAAAAACCTGAACAACCACTGTTTAGCTGCAATCTTCTTTAAATCTGATATCTTTTATAATTTATGACTCAGGTATACTACGTATAGTTTACTCCCACTTGAGAATGGTTTGCACATGCTATTAAACATGGCACTATTGAGCAATAGTATAGAGATATATAACTCATAAATAACCAGAAGTATATTGGCCATCTATGTCTGAAATAATTTCTCAGGATAATGTTTCTATGTGCTTTTGGAAAGGCCTAAAAAGCTATGCAATCACATACAGAATGCAGTGGAATATGTAAGTTGTGTAGTAATATACTGCAACTACGGGTATCAGAATTCCCTATGCATAAATCATTAAATACCTTCAAAAGTCAAACATTTTGTGCAAGCTTTTATTGCCTTTATTCGGTTTAGTATTTGTCATTCATTTCAACTTGTAACATCTCTGTATAATATGTCTGTAATGGGAATATGTAAAACTTGGGTAGTGGGTAGAAGTGATTAAAATGACAACTGCTAAATAGTTTTGTTAAGATTGTGAGTAACATGCACAAACAGAAGTGAACAAATCATGCAGTATGGAATTAGAAAGTTAAATAATGGGGATATGAAAATGGTGGAATAACAGGGCAAGGCTGAAGAATACATAACCAGGTGAGAAAAGGTTCTGCAGAAAGGAGAATCAGACAGGCTTTTTATAAGAGCCTCGTGACGCAGTGGTTAAAACGCTGTACTGCAGCTAAAACTGTGCTCACGACCTGGAGTTCAAATCCCAGGTAGCCGGCTCAAGGTTGACTCAGCCTTCCATCCTTCCGAGGTCGGTAAAATGAGTACCCAGCTTGCTGGGGGGGCAATGTGTAGCCTGTATAATTAAAAATTGTAAACCGCCCGGAGAGTGCTTGTAGCGCTATGGGGCGGTATATAAGTCCAATAAATAAATAAATAAATAAATAAATAAATTTGAGACTCTGCAGATATTAAAGAGAGGGTGAAAAGGGAAGAAGACGGTGGAGAGTTCACAGGCATTGGGAAAGACACAAAAACTAGATCTGGTTTAATACTTTTAGTTTAGAGCCATGATTCACAACTTTGGCTCCCCAGATATTCTTGGACAAACTCAGAATCCTTCACCACTAGATTTCTGGGAGTTGTTGTTCAAGAATATCTGGGGATCCAAGGTTGGGAGCCACTGATTTAGAATCTTATTAGGAATCCTGGGATAAATCCCACCTAGTGCTGAAACTAAACACATTATTGGATTAGTCATATTTAGTCTAGCTATCCTCACAGATGGTATGGAATGTCATATGAGTTGCAAAATACCATGGAATCATAAAAAATTTTGTTGGCAGGTTTTGGGTGGGCAGTTTTTGCAAACTGTTTTTTTTTTAATCTAAAGAACCGAATATTGATTTTGCACCAAAAAAACATTTTTTCAGTGCCTTGTTATTTATTATAACTGGTGGAACCAAACAATAGATTAACCTAGTAGATTCATACTATGCAAATTTATAAAAGTTATTTTATCCAGCATAAGAACAGCATAAATACAACCAATTAATATTGCATAAAGGCATCCATTAACTATTACTTTGTCATATCAAAGCTTTGAGATAGTGGTACCAATACTGACCAGCTTCTGCACAATCATATTCTCAAGTCAATGACGTATATTTTGCTGTTACTTACTCAAAAAAGGTTGTCCATCCAGTCTCGTCACTTTTGGTTGCCAGGAGTCCACTGTTGCCATGATATGTAAATAATACAAGTTCTTGTCCTTGGGCTGTCATACTTTTCAGGCATCCATTGGTTCCTATTGTTAACCAGATGACTTGGTTATCAGGAGACACCACCCTCACTGGCATCCGGTTGGGATCCCGTCTGATACGAAGCGTATTTCCATTGCTGTCAGTTACTGCAGTAATATCATTGTCATTGCTGTAGCTAAAATTGTACAAATAGTCTCCTGTGACTAAATTCATAGTGTACTGATGAGTGCCATTGACATCAAAGATATAGAGTTCCTGGTCAGTTGGAGAGGCAACTTCATAAAAATTCATTGAATTCAGCAAGGGTTTGTTCTTTGACACAGCTCTTATCCGAATATTTCCAAGATCCGCAATGTACAATGTTCCATCAGGTGATACAGCTAAGGAAGATGGGGCATTAAGTTTGGCATCTTTAGCATAACCATCACCATTCTGGTAGCAGTCACAGTTAACATCATTTTTGCAATCACACTCAGAAGGTATTCCAGCCACTAATGAGATCTCTCCATCAGTTGTAACCTGCCTTATTCTGTTAATCTTTTTCTCATCCGTTTCTGTAATGTAAAGCACCCCATTATAAGATACAGCAATGGCTGTGGCTGACTCTAAAGTGGTCTGTACTGCATGTTTCCCCACTGTATACTCCACTCCGGGAACCTGACAATGCATTGGCCTCCCAGCCGCAATACGCACTTGCCGATTTTCAGTAATCTGAAGAACCACGTTGTTATCCAACACATATATGGAATTATCCATTGGGTTGATAGCCAAATCTGTTGGCCACTCCAGACGCACCTTAACAAGGGACAGCAATTTATTAAACAGTTAATGAACTTGTTTTACTCAAATTTTCTGATTAACTTAAGAGATCTAAAATACTACTTTTGCAACAGTTCTCAAATTTTCTGAAGTTACATAAAATGACATAGATAAAATTGAATACAGCAACATGAATTATCGAAGATTATGACAACCGGGCTTACCATAGGAACATAAATTAGAAACATGAAAATTGATCTTGAAGCTATTATTTGAGTTTATGTTCCACTGGACAACAGAACACAAGCTTGGAAATAATTATCTGATTCATTTAAGTTATGAGGATTCATACAGTATATGGAGTTGACACAAGGGAGTGATGTGATGGAGCTGCCAGCATTTTCAAAGCCCTCCCAGTTGTGATGTAGGAGAAAGATTCAGTGTCCACAGCAGTTCCTGGCATGTTCACTGCTGCTTCCTTTTTGTTCCAACAGGAGGGGAAATGTATATGTAAGTCTCAGAATTGTTGTAGTTACAGGGAACAATCATTGTTGGGGCCTCACAACGGAATGGCTTTGAAACCTACTGACCACATATGACTTGCTGCCTTCCACTAGTAGAAACACCACTGGTAATTAATTTGTGCATTCTCTGTGCATAAAAAAGCAATGTAGTTGCCATTCCTGCCAGCAGTGGTGGACCTCTGCTTGCCCCATTCCAATCATGCACGGATAGTCATCTGAAGAGATTAGGATCAGAGTTTGCAACACTACGTATTTTAAGGAATTAACCTATTACTATTAAAAAAAAAACCCCATTTGAAGTACAAGTAATGCTGCACTAATATGTTACTTTCTAATTGCTATTTAATCCTCATGCAGCAGGATGGAACATTTTAATTTTTCTGAGTCTTGTTTTGCAGCTGCATTCACATTGGACAAGATCTAAAAGGCACACATTCAAGGACCATGGTTCCCAAAGTTTGGTCTCCAGATGTTCTTGGACTAAAATCCCCAGAAGCCTTCACCACTAATTATGCTGGTCCTGATTTCTAGGAGTAGCAATCCAAGAACATCTGGGGACCGAAGATTGATAACTGTTGAAAACTAACCTATTAGTTTTGCCCATTGATGTAAAGTAACTGGCATACATCTTCATGGCAATTTGGTGAAAATAAAGACATTAATGTAGGTATTTTTTTCTTGCATCCCAAATTCCATGGCATGCCGCCACAAATGCCTCTGCTAACTCCTTAATCTGTGGCAGTTTCCCAACAAGAGTTGTCCTGATTGTGTTACCTGGCATAAAAATGTGACTGGATTTTGTCCAACGACATGTGAAGAGTTGTAAACAAATGCGGTATATTTCAGCCACTTTCCACATCCAAAAAAAGGACAAAAAAATCTCAACAAATATATTGCCTTTTGCTACTGATGTACATTTTAAACTCAGCCAGTATTATCCATTAGAAGAAGAAGAAAAAAGGTCCCATGCCATATTTCAAAGAACCATAATGCCAAAAAGTAGCAGTGACTGATATCATCTGGTTGTTAGCAGGTTGGCCCTGTCTGCAGGGAAGGCACTATAACTCCTAATCTGTTTAGAAAATACAAGTAGTCGATATGCTGCATATGGACTACTTGTATTACATTTATCACTGCTACAGATAACCTTCAGTATATTCAGATTCCAACCAACTCAGAAAATATACTAGAATCCACCTAATACATTTTTAAAATAACTGTTTTAATTTTAAATTCTGTTGCACGAAGATATTTATTTTTGAAATATACACTTGAAAATAAAGCATGTTCAAAAACTCTCCCCCTGAACCCTAAAGCAATATTTAAAGAGTTATGAACAAACTTTGCTCTTTGCACTAAAAAAAAAAGAAAAAGAAAAACACTACTAGTCAACACATTATTTAAATGTTTCCTATGTCTTCATTACCCCTAAACTTAATACGACTTTGTAACTTCTCTCAGATTGTAACATGTTGGCTAGAATCCTATTCATTATTTACCCTAGCACAAGTGGAACAGTGCAAATCATAGTAGCGAACATCTACTAATTAATGGGACATCACTTGTATACCTTGTTTTGTATCAGTTGCACGGCTTTATGAGGGCCAAGGAATACAAGGGTGGGTTCGTTAACTACTAATGATTTGCTGCTTCAATTTAAGGCGCCATATTTATCATCAGGATATAGTGTAACACTACCAAATTCAAGAACAGCTCAATATTCATTGAAAAGAAAGTGCCACTGATTTCAACGCAGAGTTCTCAAGTGTCAAATACAATATATTTAAATTACTTTTTGTATAAATATAGTGGCTAGGAAGAGTATCCCCCCTTTTAAAGATGAATACAAAGGGGAGCATAATATACATTTACCTTTTTAATTTTTTCCAGTGGATTCGTGTTACAGGATGTGACAGGTGGAGGGTGGATGAAGATTCAGCTCAAGAAAAGCTAAAGGAGTCCCTCCTACCACATAACCTATTTCTCAAGAAAAGCTAGAAATGGCTATGATGCTATATGAAGTGATATGATGGCCCAGAAGTTGTTTTCCACTAGTGGATTGTCGATTAAGTAAATAAGGAATAAGGAAATAGGTTCTCATATGCACTGCAAACTGTACTAGTTGTTCTAGGGAAAATCAGAATAGATAAACCACACGAAGGAGGCTTTTAATAATCACAAATGAGTCCTTGAATTCTGGTTTTTAGCTGAGTAAGTTTATTTTCAAAGTTTATAGTGTTTTTAATCATTCAATGCATTTTAATTACTCTTACAATTTAACTCTTTTTAATGTATAATTTATTGTGTTTTTAATTTTATTTTCTTTAACACTGTGAGTTGCTTTGAGTCCAGCCATCAGGAGAAAGGTGGCCTATAAATGAAACAAACAAGCAATGACCATAAAACAATGAGAGCTACTAAGGTATGGTGGACAGACTAGGATTCAGAAGATCTGTGTTCATCCTTGCTTGGCTATGGAAACTCAGAAACTCATTGGGTGGAGTGGCAATTGCAAGGTATTTGTTGAAAATCTCAACATCCCTTGAAAATTATCTTAGGGTTTCTATTAGTTAGAAGGAATCTGATGGCACACAACAACATAAAACAGTAAATAGTTAAAAAATACCTGGCTGATATGCATGCTGGTGTCACATGTTAGAGGTCGTGCTGAAGTGAGATCATTTGAGCCAAGCAATGTTGATATTATTCCATTTTGGTCAACTTTCCGAATCATGGTCCCATCAACAAAGTAGATTAAACCATTTTTGTCTATTGCTACTCCTTTAGTTAAAAAAGAGAAAGAAAATTAATTAATTCATTTATTTATTTAATGTAAGAATTCATTTGTTCTCCTGCTCTATTCGCTCATTTTCCTTTTCTGAATCTGCATTTTAACAAAAACTACAGCTTTAAAAATATATATGCAGTCATACAAACCATAGTTGGCTAAAATGTATAAAATAAATTAAGTGGTACTTAATTAACCATCTTTACCAGATGTAGCTAGTATCCTAAAACAGCATGTATAAAAGGTAAAAGATGATGCTTGTTGTATGCAGGCTGCCGAGCACCAGGCCCAAGCAATTCATTTCAGTGAATTGAAAAGGGTGCAGCTTGCAACTGCACCCTTTTCTAATTTTCTTTGATATAAAGCCTTTGTGGAATGTGAAAAAATATTTATAATTCATGATAATGAATTGAAAATGGCTGGTGAGAAAAAAGACCTGAGGAATTTACTCTGTTGTGATTTTGGTTTTGGATGGCTTTGCTGTTCACAAATACCAAATAAGCTCTACGAATCACAGGACTGAACAAAGATCTAGCCAGCATTAAATGCTAATATGTGTGCTGACTGAAATGTGGCTGTTCCTTCATAAATTGACAGTTTTCCTCCACCTTTGGGACTCATGAGGGTTGCTTCTACAGCCTTGCCACCATCACCACATCGTGCTTCATCAAATGGGAGGCACTGCTCTCCGGTTCCTGCTACCACATCAGCATTTTTTGTCAGGTCCTTTGCCCCAGTCAGTGACTTTGGACGATAAATCCTTCGTGTGTTTGTGTCAGAAACATACAATTCTCCTGTGACTGGGTCAGTTGCAAGGTAGTATCTATGAGCTGGGTTACTGCTGCAAAAAGGGAAAGAGTGCATTTCAGCAAGATTTTGCAACATATACTTTTTACATTTGACAAACAATTTATAAGTTGGAGAAAATCAGGAAAATAGTACAAACAAACTCCCTTTTTGTTCACTGTAAGGGTTTCTGACAAGGTATGCTTGCTGTTTGCCCAGTGCAAGTCACTGTTAGGGTGGGTGGGAGGAATAGAGTTGATGTGCAGACTATTCCTCTTGCAGAAGGGCAATGGAATAAGCACTCTTCTGTTTTGTCCTGATTGATATTGTCAAGATCATTCAGCAATGTTTGGGTGTTGTCTTCAAACTAGCAGCTTTGGGTTTGATCAGCCTACAAACTTCCACTTCAAAAACAGCTGTAGTGCCTGTATTTTTATTTTATTTTATGTAATCTAGGGCACTTCAGCATGTGATTCATACTGTTCATAAATACATAATAGATTGTTCATACTGCTGACAAAACATTCTTCATATTACAGGACATGATCTGACATAGCAGAGGGCATATTTCAGGAAGTGAGGACATTATCTTTTCTCAAATTATTAGGAACATTCACATAAAATCACTGAATGTTTGTATATCCTTCTTGGAGATAAGGCTATTTTTCAAATAATAGATTGCATATTTCTTCAGAAGTATTTCTCTTCTACACAACAAGCTGCCTCCGAGAAAGACTTGATCCAGAAGCTTAACTAGCAGCTGCATCTGTAGCAGAAGATCTGAGTTACACTTTAAAGTACCAAAATGAATATACAGTATACCTTTTGAACTTTCTGTGGGCCTGTCCAGACTGGCCACTTTGAGTGTGGGGTGGATCAGGCTACAAAGGATTTGTTGAGATTGCGAGCGGGAGCAATATGCCTTTTGGTGTGCTCCTCCTCTCCAAACAACAAATGACCCCTTGATCTGATGTCAATTAAGTGCTTTCCTGATCATCTGTAGAGGATCAGGGGATTTTTTAAAAACATCATTCCCCCCTCTCTCTGTCCATGCCATTCTGTTTTCTCCCTTCTCCCCTCCCTGCTTCTCTTTGCTCATTCTCTTCCTACTTTCCCTCTCAAACTCTCCCTTGGAATCTGCAACTGCCAGGGATGGCTATCTCCTGGCTAATAAACATGCCAGAAAGAATGCATGCTCTACTTCTGGGCCAGAAAAAAATTGTGACAGCTCTTAAAGGGGAAGGATGGATCATTCTAAGTGGAAAAACTTGTGGATGAGGGCTTTTTTTTCTAATCCAAACCATGCCCTCAGTGATTCATATGCCATATCTATATGCTAGTGTGGAAAGGCCCTGTAATTACCTAAATATAAGTGCAACATAATTCATGTGTCTAAGCAGCCACTCCAATTTCTAAAGTGCTTGCAAATGCATTATAAAATGCACCTAATAATTGTGGTGATAGCTGAGCATCTGTTCACATATTTCACAGATAAAATAGAGTGGTGATGGGCACTCACACTGTATGTACTTTTGCTTACAAAAGGCAACAGAAACCAATACAAATAAGTTAAAAACGACATATTGAAGGGCAAACCAGTTTTTAGCACTGGGTATCCTAAAATATAAAAGGCAATACATGCCCACCAGCTAGCTTGCTAACCTGTAATAATCAGGTTACAGTTTGGATGGCACAGGCAACTGGTTGCTCAAAATTCTCCACCTAGCTCCCAGGTTAATTTACAATTCCAAAGACACCTTCCCATTACGATGCTTCTTATCGGCTTTCTTGTAAGCAAGCTGAGATGCTGACACAGATCTCTTTAATGCCCCTTTTCCAGTGCAATCAGCAAGGCTTTGACAGAGTTTCTGTTTCTGTCACTTAGCTGCTGTCTCCTATGCAGGATCCAATATGAGCCAAATAGAAACAATGGGAGTTTTTCGAAGAAATGCTGCCAAAGCCTCCTTTGCTATTCATGCTATGAGAAAAAAAGATCCATCACCTGTATATCAGATTACCTTGCATTGTACCAATGGATGAACCTAACATTGCTGCTTATGCCATAACCCATGCTCAGTTCAGAATATGGCCTTTTAAAAGGGTGTTTCCAGTCAGTGTAGTGGACTAATATACACACTACATACTGCTAATTATGCAAACCCAGCGTCAGACAAAGTATTGTCTACAGAGCCTTTCTTCATGTCATGTTTGTAGAGACATGGCTCTTTGGTGGAAAAAAGGATGAGATCATTCTGTAACGGAAAGTAATACTGATCAGAATCCCCCAAAGTCAGGATCCCCAATTTAAGGAGACTGGCTTATAACAACATGACAGTTCAGACTTAAAGTAGTACGAAGTTTTCATTTAGTTTGTAAAATCTTTAAAGACACAGTGCTAATTTCATGCAATGTGTCTAATGACTTGTTGCTTAACTAAAAAGGAAGTTTCCATGTAACCCTCAGCCTAAAACAAAGTTTATAGCATTAAATAAGAAAGAGGATATAATAAGGTTTTTTGCATATTTTTCTTTGAATTTCTTTGTTCATTAATGTGCTTTTCATTTATAGACTGCATTTTGTCTGAACAGTGCCAGGTGCATGGATAGTGCTTTAATCACCATCATTATTACAAAAACTAAAATAGATATACATCTAGATATAAAATCCAGTTTCTCCTAATCTATAGTGCACTTGGTTCAGCTGTACAGCAATGAATTGCATTAAAACGCAGAATTCATCATTTGAAAAACCAACGGCTTTGGGTCAATTTCCTGCTCCATATCAGAAAAACTTGAAAAAAGTGGCCATATAAAAGACCCCAAATAGTTATTCATATGGTGAAAAGATGCTAGCTCAAAGAATGGACTGTATTACGAGAAAAGTGAAATACAGATCTGAGTTTGAAAAATTAGTCCTTACTCTCCCTGAGATGATAGAAAAACTTCAGACTATTTTCTCTGCCACAAACAGAAAACCAGATATAAGGGATAAGCTAAAACTCTTATCACTAATATGTTTCTTTCGAGAGAGAACATATTTTTAATATGACAGAGCATTCATGTTGCTCTGCTTGTATTCTGACATGATATAACTGAAATATTGGGCTTTGTTAGGGAAAGACATTAGTGTTTGAGGAAAGTAGAAGGCTGGGGGAGGGAGAAAGAAGAGAGAGAGAGAGAGAGAGAGAGAGAGAGAGAGAGAGAAAAGCATGGAACTGAGATTCTTGTTTGGTCTTCTTCAGAAGTACAGTATTTATGACATGTTTAGAGACACACATGTTTAGAGACACATAAATTAACTTTGAAACTGCCACAACCTGTGCTACTGCCAACCCCATGCAAGACTGATGAATCCCTGAAGAATAATCCTTAGCATGCTCCTTGAGAACGCCCATTATTGAATATAATCACAATTAATGAGACTTCAAAGACCTGACACATCCTCTGGGCTCTGGAAATCAGCAATAGTAATCTTGGCTAGGTATAAAAAGGTTGGTTTAACTAATGCAAGATATTCCTGTACCTTTCTGCTCAAAATCTGGGTATACCTGGGATAGCGAACCATTTCCAGGCAGAAAAGATTTCACTACTGCTAATACAGCTGTACTGGAAGCACTTTGTATCTCCCTGAGGAATCTCTAGAGTAATACTGAGTATGTGTAATCCCAGAATACAACATATAATCTCAAAGGTCTGAGTGTAAAATAAATACCAGATTGCCTTCATCTCATACAGAATATTTTTGTAGCTGAACCATAGGGATATGTCTCATACAGCACTAGGAATGCGAGTAACTTTCTCTTGAGCTCACCAAAGACTGAAAGTAAGGAGTGGTGAACCTAGGGTCTTCTAGATCTTAATATGGCCAGGAATGTTAGGGCCTAAATCCAGTGTGTGTTGGTGATAGAGCTCGGAAGGCCTATTCCTCCCCTTTTCAGTCTTCAGAAGGACTCAAAATACAATCCTCTGGAACAGGGGGCTAGAAGGCTAAAGCTAAGGAAGGGAATTGGTCCCTTCACTTCTACTGGATTCTACTCTTGCAAACAAGTCCAGTGCAACGTAGTCCTGGGGTTCCAACCCAATAACCCTCTGGAGTGCCACAGGTTCCCTAACCGAATGTCAAAAAGCTGCCTCATTGAAGATAGCTGGACACATCCAGAGGACTAGTTTAGGGATCTAAAACATGCAGACCAGTATTTCCTATTTCACTTGCAAGTGAAAGGTCATATATATTATAATTGTAATATATTATTATAATTATATTTGAGACTATGATAGAGTATAATAAAGCACAGAAGACTCATTGGAAACGTGATTAATCCCTTCCGGCCGAAGGAGGGGGGAAGCAATCAAGCATGCAAGACCCATTGGAAATGCACAGACAACAAACGGAGGAGATCGGAAATGCAAAGAAAACAAAGGAAAAAGCAAGGGAAGCATGCAGGGGCCATCAGAAATGGGGAAAAAAAACAAAAGCAATCAAACCCCCCAAGACCCATTGGAAATGGGGGGGAAGCCAAAAAACAAACAAATCCCTCAAGACCCATTGGAAATGGGGGAAAGCAAAAAAAAACCACCCCCAAGACCCATCAGAAATGGGGAAAAAACCCAAAAAGCAACCAACCCCCCAAGACCCATCAGAAATGTGTAAAAAAATCCAACAAACAAACAAACCCCCCAAGACTCATTGGAAATGGGGGAAAACCCAAAAAAGCAACCAAACCCCCCAAGTCCCATCGGAAATGGTGGAAAACAAACAAAAAAACCCTATTGGAAATGGGAAGAAACACTCCAAAAAGCAACAAAAACCTACAAGACCCATTGAAAATGGGGGGGGGACCCAACAAACAAACAAACCCCCAAGACCCATCACAGCACAGAAACATAACCCCCAATCCCAAAACCATGCTGCAAAAACACCCAGAAGAGTTTTTAAAAAGCAAAAAACAGCACCTTAATTTACCAGGCAGCCTGAAACCTCCCTGCAAACACACACACAAACACTCAGAAGTAGAGGTGAGGCAATCCCAAGCCTCCTCTGATACACACTCTTTAACTGTTGGGGTGAAAGAGCTACAAAGAAGCAGCCTCGTCACCACCTACAGTTAGAAATTTGAATTTCCTGCCTTTCCCCCCACCTTTTTCTGTTTGTAAGTGGAAGCTCTGGTCGCAAGTAGAAGCAAAATTTTGTGGCCGAAGCTAGTCGTAACTCAAAATGGTCGTAAGTCGAGGCACAACTATATATAATTCCACCATATATTGGAAAAAAACTAAAGAGGCATTGTAAATTCTGCACTTGCTATAATATGTTATTCCCAACTGTTATCCAAGTTATTCCCAAAAAAAAAAATCTCTAAAGACTCTTAAAAATTTACAATTTTTCAAGGCTAAAGAGCACTGAAATAAGAATTTTAAATACACAACAACAGATCACTAGGAGTATATAATATGAGAAGAGCTGACTGCACTCCTTATAACTTAAAAATAAGTGTATTATATTTAGTCATGGGAAAACACTACTTGCTGACACAACACAAAACAACACATATAAAACATTAATTCTTAAATATAAACCTTCCTCAATTAAGGAAAAAAATTACGAAGCAGCACATCTAGAAGCCGAGTGAATTTTTCAACAAAACCCAGTCATACAGGGAGAAATGATACTTTCTGAGGAGTTGAATATAATGAAAAGGCAGGGAAGGGGGAAAGAAAGAGACTGACAGTAAAGATGGAGTGAGCATGCATGAAAACAAGAACTTTTGAATGTCACCCTGCATTTTTCATGACACATTCAGTACAACACGGTAGTGATGCAATGCTTGTGCCAGGAGAAGAATTTCATGGGGTGGTTGTGATGTCCCTTTTGTGCTAGCCAGTGGCAACCACAGTTCTGTCTCTCCTCTTGATTTATGCATTCTGTCTCTCTTATTGATTTATGTGGCTAGTCAGAATTCAGTAAGATCAGATAAAATGGGCCCTTAGAAAGACATGAAGCTGCCTTCTAATGAACCAAAACTTTGGTCCTTATAACTCAGTACTGTGTACACTGCATGGAAACCTCTCCCCAGGTCTTCAGACAGAAGTACTTCCCTGCCAAATGTGGAGAGTTTGAACCTGAAATCATTCCTTTGCTCTGCCACTGAGCTACAAACATGCCTTCTTTTGTGCTGCTATGAAAATAGATATGTTCCAAACATGCATGTACATGACTGCAATTTGTGTTTCTGACTACAAAAACCCTGATGACTGCCACCTTACTGAGATTCCACTGAGATACCAAGGCAGACTGCATTTTAGGTCCTGTTTGCAACAGTGAAAAAGGAGGAATGAAAGTGGCAAATGAGGTGACAGAGATTACAGGAAGACAGCACTGAAAAGTATGGGCAGTAGCTTTAAGAAAAAAGAGAAGCAAGGGGGAAACAAGCAACATTTTATTAATTTGTAACCTGTTTTGTCTTGAGGTGGATTCCAAGAAAATATAACCATATTATTGACATACAGTGTCAAACAACGCACTTTTGCAAACTTTCTCCTACTAGAGTTGATAAAAGAAGTTGGTGATTTTTATAAGCACTCATTCATTATGACTGCCACAATTTTACAGCAATTCCATCCACTCAATGTATTAGTTCATTTTTCTTAACTTTCTGAACAAAAAGTGTGAACATGCTTTAAATGCTTACCTATGTCTAAAATCTTTATTTCTTGATTGGAAGCAAGAAAAGGAAGAGTAAAAAGAACAGTATTAGACAAAGGTCTTTAAAGGAAGTGTTAAATGAGGAACAGAAATAGATAATGATGCTAGTAAAGTTGCTGATTGTGGTTCTATTCAGTCATTTTGATCATTTGAATGGCTGAGATATTTTGACAGCTATTTTCATGAGCTTCAGTAAATGTCCCCTTTTAAAACTTCATTTCAAACTAATTTTTTTAGCATTTGCATTTTGTTACACTGTTCAGATGAATATAGAAATATAGTACTTTAAAATAGATTTATTACAACATTATTTTGAAACAGTTAAGAAGGAAAATTATACCTTAGTTCAAGAACACTTGTTACATTTCCAGATGGGAATATCCGTCGGACATAGTTGAAATCTCCTACGTACAAGCTTCCATCAATACCACAAGCTAAGGCAACTGGAGCCAAAAGTTTATTGCCATCTGCTTGACCATTGCAGCTGGGGCACGAAATGCTACGTCTTCGACCGTTGCCCATTATACTACTGATGACTGGTGGTTGTTGAGAGATGAACTGATTTTCTCCATTACCTTTATAAAGTATTCCTGAAGAAAAACACAAATATGATTTCCTACATCAGTGAAATACGTATTTGCAACAAGTTTTGAATTGAAAAAACCCTCCCTTCCAAATAAATTTACATTCTATAATGTGGTTATTTTGTTGAAATCCAAAGGATGCATCTGAGCACACTTTCATCACTAATCTTTCTCATTTTAGCTATACTATTCCGAAGCAGTTTACAAATAAGGATTGAGAAGTTCTCATGTCATACCTCTTTGAATCCTGAATGTATAAGAATTGGGCTTCAATAATTCATATTTACTATTGGCAGGGAACAGCATTCAGAACAAACAGAGGTAGTCCCCAAAGTTTAATACATGAAAAATTCAAAATCGAGCACTACCTTTTGCATTTGGCCTTTTGATGCCATACATCGTGAGGCCAATCAATAGGGGACAATTTATCTGCAAAAGGTGTTCTGCCGACCAGGAACCATGGCTGTGTTGGATTGCCTTCCAAAATACTAATGTTTCATTTATGAACTGAATCTAAACCTGTGTTTCTCCTCCTCCCTGCTACCAGACAACTGGCACTATTCAAAACCAATTGACACGGTTGTTTGTGTGCATCCCAGTCTCCCAGATTTGACTGGGAAACATATGTACAGTTTGCATGCATATCTCCCCCTTCATGTACAGCAGAATGTTGTACTGGAATGATTCATGTTTGCATTCATGTTCCTTTTTCTGCTAGAATAAACTACAAACATATGTGCTTTTAAGTATCACGAATCCATAACCATATACCCATAAAGTATTATGACAAAGAATTTTTCCGACAGTTTCAATTTCACATTGCAAAATGATTTTATACAATGTGCAGTAATAATTTACCTTTGGTGCAAAGCCTGGTTCCATAATGTATCTGCAGTTCTGTACTCATATGTCAAATATAACATAAATATTTTGGTATGCCACCTGCCCTGTAAACCTAGTTCTGCTTCAAGGCATCAACAATCATTGATGAAAGATAAAGTACTATACCAGGATCATTTTTATGGCCTTCATAGGAAATGTGTGAAATGCTTTCACAGGTCAGCGTCTCCCCTTCACCACACAGGCTTCACATTTATATACAGTACAGCCCCTCCTCCTGATGTCCCGCCTTCCACTCCCCATAGGATGGAACTTTCCCTCCAAACCCATGACAGACAGGTAACATCAGTGCTGTATGTAACAGTTCTCATGTCATACCTCTTTGAATCCTGAATGTATAAGAATTGGGCTTCAATAATTCATATTTACTATTGGCAGGGAACAGCATTCAGAACAAACAGAGGTAGTCCCCAAAGTTTAATACATGAAAAATTCAAAATCGAGCACTACCTTTTGCATTTGGCCTTTTGATGCCATACATCATGAGGCCAATCAACAGGGGACAATTTATCTGCAAAAGGTGTTCTGCTGACCAGGAACCATGGCTGTGTTGGATTGCCTTCCAAAATACTAATGTTTCATTTATGAACTGAATCTAAACCTGTGTTTCTCCTCCTCCCTGCTACCAGACAACTGGCACTATTCAAAACCAATTGACACGGTTGTTTGTGTGCATCCCAGTCTCCCAGATTTGACTGGGAAACATATGTACAGTTTGCATGCATATCTCCCCCTTCATGTACAGCAGAATGTTGTACTGGAATGATTCATGTTTGCATTCATGTTCCTTTTTCTGCTAGAATAAACTACAAACATATGTGCTTTTAAGTATCACGAATCCATAACCATATACCCATAAAGTATTATGACAAAGAATTTTTCCGACAGTTTCAATTTCACATTGCAAAATGATTTTATACAATGTGCAGTAATAATTTACCTTTGGTGCAAAGCCTGGTTCCATAATGTATCTGCAGTGCTGTACTCATATGTCAAATATAACATAAATATTTTGGTATGCCACCTGCCCTGTAAACCTAGTTCTGCTTCAAGGCATCAACAATCATTCATGAAAGATAAAGTACTATACCAGGATCATTTTTATGGCCTTCATAGGAAATGTGTGAAATGCTTTCACAGGTGGAACTATATTCTGTTAGACATGACCACTACCCTTATTATTATCTAGATCAATGACACAATTAATGTCTGCTGCAAGAACTCTCAACTATTACATTTACATTCATCCCACAATAAATCTCAAATGTGGTGTAATCCATGCAAACTAGATGTCACTTTGTACTATATAGCAGCACTTGTTTTATTGATGGAGTATAAGACACTTCAAAGACAATACTGGTGCTAATGATGATGCTGCCTCCCTGCAATAAGTAATAGAATATATTTTGAAACCTTTAAGACAGGTGGGTTTTTTTTAACATCAAGGCTATTCTGAAACAGATTTTCAAAGAGGAAATATTTTTCATAACCATTCCATATTCTTAGAGCTGCACCAATTACCTTTCCAGCACCATGCAATCTAAAGAAAGTATCTAGCAAAGAAAATCTACAATATGAAATAAAGAAAAATGAAAACAGTCTGTGAAATGGCAAAGGAAAGCCATGTCAATAAGGCTGCATCATAAATGTACACAGAGCACATCTTCCCCTAAACAGTTGGAGTGAAAATGTGCTAATGGAATCTGAAACCTCCCTCCTACAATTACATCATTTATGACAATCAGGAAACCATAATTTTGCTGAAATAGCCGAGTTCTATAATTTTCATCAGAGGTATCATACAAGTCAGCACTCAGCACTATGGCACCTGATTTATTCTGTCATTACTCTGAAAAATGGCCCCTTCACATCTCTCTTCTATTACCACAGAGGGAAAAGATGAACATTAGAATATTTATTGCAGTGATTCAGGGTGTCCGTATAAACACCTGTCATTGCCTTTGCTCCCTTGTGAATAAATTTCCTCTTCTCATCCACACTGACATTACAACTAGCCACTTCATTTATTCAATTAGACAGTCATCACTTTGAAGAGTGATTACTTGTCAAACTGTCTCCTGAACATGAATTTCAGCACATGGCTGAGTCACTATTTGAACAGGAATACTCAAGAACAAAAAAGAAGAGAATGAAATGACACATAAACATCAGAAAGCTTTATCCTCACTTGTTTGTTGCCGATTTCCATGATAACTAAAGTGGTAGTTATCAATGGGATGCTTTTCACTTCTTAATCCTTGTTTCGCATTGATTTGTGCTACATGCACAGGAAAGAGACATATTTCTATATGATAACTATTCCCATAGAAACTAGAACTGTACTCTAAGAAATATAACTACATTAATCAGCTGTGAGCCAGGATTTAGAGATCCTTTGCCTTCTGTAAATTTCTGCATTAGTTGGACTTCGTTTTTCTTCTTTATAATAGGCCTCTCAGAAAAGTTACTTTTAGGGTTACAGTCTCGGAAAACCCAGTGGGAGTTACCGTCTTGAAAATAAATTTTCCAGGCTTTGAGAGTGAGGATGACACCTCTTAGAAATGCCACTGCATTTATTACTTTTGCCTGTCTTAAATCCTGTAATACCTTTCAGCTACCTTAACACCCATTATATAATGGTCAGAATGCTACTGGGATTTTACTTGGCAGCTGTAGTGCCAAATTGTGACTTGTTAATTAGCTGCAATTCGCCACCATGACTTACACAATTTCATTTGCTCTGGAGTAAAATCCCAAAAGGATACTGGCTAACATCTAAGCAGCCTAAGTGTCATTGATTTTCATTACTAAACCCTTCTTTTCAAGTATTTCTTTCCTTATGTGTCATTGCTCCCAGTGGTTAAACAGCAGCCACACTTCATTCTTAAACTGGCAGCATCCCAGTAACAGGGGAATTAGTATTTCCATGTAGCCAATATTATTACTCAGTTATTGTACTATTATTTTTTTGGTTGAGATGGAAGAAAATAAACCTATCATCTTTAATGCTTTAGAGTTTTCAGACAGGTAGCCATGTTGATCTGTTTCAACAACGAAGCAAAATAAATGCATTGTGGTACTTTTAAAATTAACAAATTTATTTCAATGTGCATTGTGTTAACAGTGTGAAAATGGAGCAAAATCTTCTGCTCCATGTGTCTGAAGAATTAGACTATATAGTACTCATGAAAGCTCACCTTGAAATAAATTTGTAAGTCTTAAAGTTGCCACAATATGTTTGTTTTTGTTGAGATTATCATTATTACATTATAACTGTGGCTGGAGAGAGACTCAATGCAGGCTCCCAAACTATTTTAGCTTCTTTAAACTGTTTGAACTAAGATCCTCTTTTGGGATTCAACCAAACTGTTTAATTTTTACCCAATAAAATCATTGCCAATGATCACAGGAGCATACCAATGTAGAATCTCAGAGATATTTATTTGGACTCTACTCCCACAGATTTCAAAGGAATATTGGTTCTGATAAGCACATTGGTTAGCACCTAATATCTACGTTGGCTTGGGCATGTCGTGAGAATGGCTGATGGTCGGATTCCAAAGGATCTCTTATATGGAGAATTAGTGCAAGGAAATCGCCCCAGAGGGAGATCACAGCTGCGATACATCGGCAAGCCGGATCTGAAGGCCTTAGGAATGGACCTCAACAGATGGGAAACCCTGACATCTGAGCGTTCAGCCTGGAGGCAGGCGGTGCACCATGGCCTCTCCCAGTTTGAAGAGACCCTTGTCCAGCAGGCTGAGGCAAAGAGGAAGTCACAAAAGCAGCAAAATCAGGAAGTTGGACAGGGGACAGATTGGATTTGTCTTCTGTGTGGAAGGGATTGTCACTCTCGAATTGGCCTCCTCAGCCACACTAGACGCTGTTCCAAGTCCTCTATACAGAGCATGTTACCATAGTCTTTCGAGACTGAAGGATGCCTAATGTAATGTAATGTAACTGGAACCTCTGCACAAAGTCTCTCTGACAGAAATATTGTTCATGTTATTTTTGCTATTTGCTTATTGTAAAGAAACAACGAGGGTAGAACTGCACTAAAATTCTGGAATGTGTGAATATGTATAGTAAACTTAATTACAAGCCCATTATACTGCATTTTCATGTGTGCAATTTCATTTTGAATCCTGGAAGAATGTGTACATACGTTTGTGTGCATTTTTCTAAATACGTGCATGCATTTTTTCAGTCAAAAGCATTTTGGACATATTTTCACTGACTAAAGCACTATTGTTCACATTTTATAAATCTGTGCATTTTAATCTTCAATTCAGTGATAAGCAATTACCATGCTAAATATGCACAAATGGAAGATCAATTAGAAGTCCTTGAGGTGAAGTACAGACAGTAACAAGATGAAGGAGAAAAAAAAGCAAAGTCCAATGTGATGGCACAGAGAATTAAAGGAAGAAAAGATGAATAAAGGAGGATTAATAAAGGAGAATCCACACAAGAATATATGAATGCCTAGGATACAAATAGTATACAGGTAAAATATATTCATCTTGTACTATGAGGAGAACATTCCCCTGGTCTTTGAAAAAATATGTTTCTAACTTTCCCATTACTTTAAGATAAAGGACAATTCTAGGGTTATCATGAATGGAAATTCCTTGTCTTTCTGGCATGTCAACCATGAATTAAAATTTTTGAAGGAAGGAATAACAGCTAATAACAGTAACTACCAAGAGAAAATAGTAACATTTAGAATTCAAACATATACATACTTACTTCGGCCTGGCTTGTCAAGTTTTGAAAATTTATATGTACAGTGTTAAAACAATTCAAGGGAATGTTAAAAATGCAATCCTGAAAATATACATTGTGTTTTTAAAATTAAATATGAACAGAAGCATACTAAAAGTCTCTACAAAACAATCAGCCAGCTCTCAGCCAAGTCTGAAAGCAAGGTCAGTGTAAAATAACAAAAATAACATTGCCTCATCAAAGTTTTAGGTGATGTGTTATATGGGATCACCATTTATTACACCAGCAAAATCGAGTTGTTTACAGTTGAAGGGAAATGTAAACAACTGCAAGAACTATAAATATAGGGAGGCAAGAGACACACATAAAGACTACACACACTGGATACCAACAACACAAGGCAGCAAGAAGCAGGCAGGAGATACAACAGCACACAGACTTCATGGAATTTCCTCCACAGATGCAAACTGGCAAATGGCTGGCTTGACTGGCTGAGGACACGGTCAAATAACTTTTCTGTTTGTCCGAATATGCTAAGAAGCTAAGAAACCCGTTTCTTCTGTTACCGATTTTTACTGTTTAAAGAAATGTGACTTTTCAGGCTGCAAGCTCCTGTATTTTTGCTTTGAAAGGTGATATAAGTTCGTCTGTACCTTTGATAGCTAAAAGCTTATACTGTAACTTCTGATTACAACTTAAGTTTTGCTTTTGGAATACTCCTTCCTTGCAATTTTTCATAGCTGTAAGTATTTTATACAACAGTTATACCTGCAGCTTTTCACAAGTTGAAAGGACGGATTTCTGTTTAAGCATTTGTGCCTATAATTTTTCATTGATGTGGAAACATTTTATAAAATAACTTGCCTGTGATTTCTTTAAAAGTTGCAATAACTCTTGGATTTTTATGTTTAGAAGCAATAAATAAAACTTGTTGAAATAGACAAGCTGATGTTGCCTGTAATCATTCCAACAATGAAAATATTTATACCTTGATACGCAGATTTATTTAGATATGATTGGAAATGCTTATCTGGTTTCATACAGGAATATATGGCCAGCTGTGACAAACACAGGCTTGCAATTTTTCCTAAAGGTCTATAAAGGTCTTTATGGCACATAACAAGGTGTTTAGGCACCAGACTTTCTGATCTGAGGAGACATTTATAGGGTGGTATTGTTAGATTCTTAAAACTTACCATTCTGAACATCCAATACATGATGTTTGTCTAGTGTCCAGCCACCCATATTGGAGGCATCTAGCTCATATCCTTGCAAAATAGCTGTCCGTTTTTCCCATAATGTTAGATCCAAACATGATTCGTATTCATAACCTACAGATACTGGAATTAAAAACAAAAGAATGACTTTCCCAACTTTTCCCAATCCATTTAATTTTTGATATTCAGAATTATGATGTTTTAATACTCTATTTTTAGTAATATAGGACTTACAAATTGATTAACAGTTTGGATTTAACATCTACTGCTAAAAAGTGTACACATTAACTGAAATCTAGTAGTAAGTCAACTGGAGTACATATATTGAATCAGTGGGGATTTGGTGAGTCATCTCTTCTGTAAGTTCCACTGATTAAATGGGACTACTCCAGTTGTGAATTACTACTGGATTTCAGCCATTAAAAACTTATAAGAATGGTTTATTTAAAAGATAAATTATGGTAACTTAATTGAATATGAATTGCTCACAAAGAGAAATAAAGGCTACACTTATTTTCCTGTTTACCACATCTGGGAATATTTTTAACTCTTCTGTAGTTCATCTGTCTTTAAAACTATAACCACTGAAGAGTGTTGTGGCACCATAAAAACAATATTACTATGATATAAGCAAGTGAGAACTCTTATTTTGTCAGACTTGTGAAATGTAATCCTCAGTTATCTACTTTATGAAACTGATGAAACAGAGTCTAAACCACAAAGGTTTATAACATAATAAACCTGTTAGGCTTAGATCTAAATCTAATGTGAGGCTAGTGTGGTGAAAAACATGACTACGTTAAGAGTACTAGATTAGCAAAAGCAAAAAAACAACAACAAAAGCAAAGTGTGCTGCTTATATAGCGCCCCATACAACTTAAAGCAGTCTCTGTGTGATTTACAATTTCATTGTGCAGGCTATAAACATTGCCTCCACCCCAGCAAGCTGGGTACTCAAACTTACTGACTTTGGAAGGCTGAGTGAACCTCAAGGTGGCTACCTGGGATTGAACCTGGATCGTGAGCAAAGTTTTAGCTGCACTACTGAAGTTTAATCACTGTGCCACAGGTGATAAATCCATGTGCCATCTTTTGGAAGACTATTATAGATTCTGACCTTGTGATATTCTATAAATGTGTGTTTGTGACACCACTGCATAGAGGCCACTGCCTTTAAAGTACCGCTCTTTGCCTTTTTTAATTGCTACAGTGTAATACTGCTGTTCTAAATTTTAGCTGCACTACTGAAGTGTAATCACTGTGCCACAGGTGATAAATCCATGTGCCATCTTTTGGAAGACTATTATAGATTCTGACCTTGTGATATTCTATAAATGTGTGTTTGTGACACCACTGCATAGAGGCCACTGCCTTTAAAGTACCGCTCTTTGCCTTTTTTAATTGCTACAGTGTAATACTGCTGTTCTTTGGATACAGTTTTGAAACAAAACAACTGTAGCCAACAATGATATGGTCAAAAAAAAAAAAGAAAAAGAAAAAGAAAAAGAAACTGTTGAGTCTCCTAAACAGAAGGAACTTCCAATTTGTGAATATAGTTTGCTCACGGAAGAACTCTTCCTATGAGTGCAACACCTTTCTTGATTATGTGAAAAAGGCAAGTGCAAATCGTATTTGACAGAGATTTCACCTGAGCACTGTTAGCTTAAACTGCTTTTTGCTGCTAAAAAGATCTCAGAGCAATTTTATCCCAAGGCAGTGTTAGCTAAAAGGAGAAAAAGCCATTTTCAAATTTCATCAAATTCTGTGTAAGTAGAGCTGCTGCAGCTATGAGCTCTGCACAGTGGCAGGTACTTCAAGTGTTGCGAGTCCCAGATTTTTCCTGTTTTCAGCTCTAGCAATTAATTAAGGAGCAGATTTTAATCCTCCAAGGAAGGTTCTTTCAATTAATTGTACTGAATGTATTTTAAAACTCTATGTGCAGAGGGCATATAGATGCTCCCACAAAATACTTTAAAGGTCTTGTGTTGTAGAAAAACACCAGACATTTAATAGCAATTTAAAGTAATTAATATCACCGTAGGTTTTTTTTCCCCAAAAGCACCACAAGCACTGTAATATTCTTCTGGCAAAAGAAAACGCAGTTAGTGTGGTTTTTAACTCAAAGTATTCTGCCTCAGAGCTGACAATCAACACAATAATGTATGCCCCATTATTTCCAGATATTAGTTTACTCAGATGTCCTAATTACAAATGAAATATAATCCATTCATTTGTGATCTGTCCTTTTCAGAGTATACTGTTTGTACCAAAATGTTTACATTCATCCTGTCCATCCTACTACGATATTCTTTTATATCTTCCTTATTTAAAAATTCATTAAAAATTCATAGTGATCAGTGTCACTGTGTTTTCTAGAAAATAGCAACCAACAAACAAGCAAATACCGAACAACAAATAAAACCTACCAACAGCTTCAGATAAACCATAGACCTTTTGGTTATATGCATCAGTTTTATCCCATATGAATGTGTAAGCCAAATTTGGGGATGCAGGGAACCATTTTTGGAAAAGTCTTCCCACCACCGCCACCATGAGATGAACTTTCATTAAGTTAAATGGTATCACCGACTGTGTCATGGTGATCTTAAGAACAGATTTGTACCCTGCAGCTCTGGAGCTTAAATATGACAATTTCAAATCAGTTCCTGGGATTGTGGTTTCCTCATGTAGTACCTAAAATACAGAACAAAAATGGACACATTAATCTGAACTTGCTACTGCTTTACTGTATATTATTAATTAGTAGATATATCAGAGCTTTAGAAATAACACAATTTTTTGAGAAAAAAGTAAAACACTTCAGGTCTCATTATCAAAACATCTGAAGTATGATCTCCAGTTTTGTTAGGCTGAATATATTAAACTGTTTTCACAAATATAGCCCCTACTGCAATGCTTCCATAATTTGAGAAATAAAGGTAATCCCCAAAATTCCATACAAAACACTGTGATTTGAGTTCTTTGAAAGATAACATCTAGTTCCTATGGAGCAATTTTGGCTTCCTACAGTTTGAAAGCCCTGAGAATAAGCATTACTGCAGGCTCAGATATTTCACCCTTACTTTGTCTTTTGCATGCTAGCTTTAGTGCTCTGTTCCTGGTTGGTTTAAATGAGAATTTATACTAGCTAGAATCTTAAGCCAGTTTTATCCTGGTTTAAGATTCTGGTTAGTAAATCAAATAGGACTAGAAGCATTGGTTATTACTGGAGACGGGAGGGATAAGAGAAAACTGTGTGAGTTTATCGCCCATTTCTTGCCTCTTCAACCACGAGGTTGGCATCATTACTTGCGAAATAGCCCAATTTATCTGAAACAAAAGCAGACTTGGAGAATCATGGGTAAATATGGCTTGCAGATGTGCTCCTTAAAACAAATGAGAACTTTGCACTGATTCGTTTATTAAGTAAAATAGTATGGCACCTGTTTTGGAATGTGCATGCACCTACAAAACTGTCATAACCCTAACAGTAAGACTAGTATAAGAATATAGCAAGAATTGTTACATTCTGGCAGCAAGAAGTTTGAAAGACCAAGACTTTATTCTCAAAGAAAAAGAAAAAAGCAGTTCTAGCTCATGTTGCATAACTGGAAAAGTCATAATCCACTGTCTCCTCTTTCATCTAGTTTCTCCTCATTTTCCTCTTTTCTTTTTTAACATCTGGTTTAAAAAAATTTATTTAAAACAAAAAGAAAGTGATACAAAATATAGTTTCCATTGTAATTTAAAACCAAGAGGGCAAAAAGCTTTAAATGAATACAACAGAAAATTAAAGAACTGAAATCTAATTCTAAACATTTATATCAAAGTTTCCTCTATCCCCTTGAGAATCAATCATTGGCTGCCACAGGTTAGTAACTTCCTATATTTTCTCTCCAATCTTTCCTTCTCAGTAACCCAGGTGTTCATGTTTGTTCCATGTACTAAACCTTATAGACTAAGTTTTATATATGCTGTTTCATCTTGTATTAGTTCTTTGCAATTACAATTCTAACAGCACTTAGAATATAAGAGATAAAAAAAATAATGGGCTAAATGCAGTGAGCACCAAACAGTAGGTCTGCTTAAATGACTGGGACGTATATTAGCACTGACATGCTACATTCCATTTATTTCATGGATCTGTTCTGCTTGGAACCAACAACTGGACTTAGCCCAATGTTACCTAATCATCTTAATAAAGTAAGTAAAGTATTAAGGAATACCAAATGCAAAGTTATTCATTTATCTTTCTGTAAACATTTGGCCTACTATGTCATTTACTTACATACAGCTAAAACTAATGGAAATCTAATTCCAATGTTTGTATTTATTGTTCTTATGTATTTTATCTTGCCAACCTTACAGCCAGTAGTTCAGAGGCCAGCTAAATAAAACCAGTTGGAAACTTTATATTATATTATTAACAAGATCTTTAATGAAGATATGAATGAAATAACTTTGGAAATTGCTTTTGTAAGCATATTTCATCATTCATACTAAACGTTATCTTCACTATTTCAGAGAATATTGTTTAACACTTTCTTTCTGAACAATGTTCCTTTGAAAAGTTGGCTTTCATGTGCCTTCATTTTTTAAATGGTCAAGGTATCATTTTCTATTCAATTTCTTACAGAGAATTTATAGGATCCAGAGTTGCATGGAACAGAATTCTATGACCCGGGTTCTCTCAGGGGTGGAATGGGAAGATATGAGTTTCAGTAATTTCCCCTTCCTACATCTGCGGACTCCTATGCATCCTCTCTACAGTACTGTGGCCCCATCCAGAAAAACATGGTGTGTAGGTGTGTGTGTGGCTCTACAGGCTGTAGAAGGAAAACTGGTGAAAATCGCTTCCGTATTTTCTGCCTGAAGAATATGTACTTAGCAGTGAAGCAGTCGATAATATCCTAATTGTAGGTTCCTCCATCTGTCTGTCTGTCTATCTATCTTCCATCCCACCCATCTAGTAGCGGGCCTCTACCACATAATGTGTACATAAAATAAAACTATCAAAAAAAGAAAAATCCCACCCATATAACCCACAAGCATCAGAAACATACAACATAGTAACAGTAATAACATAACCTTAAACAGAAAAAAAATTCAAACAGTCAAATAATAAAGTAATTAAATGGGAAGAAGATTCTCAAAGGCCTTCCTGAAGAGCCATCCATGTTTTTATTTGCCTTCTGAATGCAAGGAGGGTGGGAGCCTGCTGCACCTCCACTGATAATGAGTCCCATAGTGAAATGGGCACCACAGAGAAGACCTGGTTCCTAACTGTAGACTTCTGGGCCTCCCTTGGGGTGCCCACCTGGACCATCAATGATTGGAAGGTGTGGGTGGGACAGGTGGTAGATCTGAGGGAGAGGTGCTCTGCTAGGTAGCAAGGTCAAAAACCATTCAAGGATTTGTACGTCAACATTAACACCTTGAACTTGGCCCAGAAGTAAACCAACAGCCAGTACAAACAGGACAGGGGAAATGTGATTGTGTTTTGAAGCTTCCAATAAAACTCTGGCCGCTGTGTTTTGCACTGCTGAAGCTCCCAAACTTTCTTCAAGGGTAGTCCCATGTGTTTCAATAGTCAATCTTCAAGACTACCAAATCATGAACCTGTCAGGAGTTCAGCCAAAGAAGATCTGGTATCTGAGGGGTTAATTTCAGCTGAGGAAAATGCTGGGCAATTAGAAGCACACACAGCTGAATCACCACCAGATTCTCCTCCCCCAGTAGCCAGAGTGAGAGCTAAACTTCGGCAAAAACTCATGACATGAAGGGCAGAGGATCACATGAATGTTTCCCATAGGAACATCACGTCAACCAGCCCTGAGTTTTAGCAGGATGAAGTGTTTAGATGACTGCTGCTGCTATAAAATCTGCACCCAGAGGCTTGGAAGCGTGTGGAAGCAACAAGTCAATGCTCTGGCTCGCATCCATGCGCCTGCGTATCTTAGAACTTGTTCTCTGGACCCTTGGCTTTCGACTCTGACTTCTGACTACGATTTGTGTTTTGGCTTTGGCATTTTGGTAACTGCTTTGCATCTTCTGGACTTCTGATACCGGACTGGGTTATTGGACTTTTGCCTGTTGAAACCCCCGGGAATGTGACAGAACCAGTGTTATTATGGACCTCCTGTCAAGATAGGGGCAAAAGTGTGCTATTTGCCTAAATTTTTTTTAAAAAAAGACCTGGCCACAGTCCAGATTTATTTCTTCATCAAGAGGACCAGATGACTGCTTTTAAAACCAAATGACTATAATCTTATTGGTTAATTATGCCACTGTAATGTAGTCATGTAAACCACAGGACTGATTTATTGCTTGTATCACTCATGCACTTGTTGAACATCAGTTTATGCAAATGAATACATTTGGGCAATGAGTGATATAAGTGGCAACTCACCATTGCAGTTTATATCATTGTACTTACATTGGAGTAAGTGATGAATAGAATTTTAGCCATTATTATATCTTTAGGTCAGAATTCAGTGTTACGTATCTGCCCATGGAAGTATCTCTCATGGGTAAAAGTAAAAGGCAGTAAGCCCTTTCTTCCTCCAACCCCCTCATGTACCTTCTAAACCTGCTACGAAGGGCAGAACAATCCTTGTGAGTTGGTTTTTTAGCATCACAGAGGACTATGGGAGAAGAAGAGAAAGTTCTGAGTCTATTGTTAGTTTATTATTGAATCTACCATATAGTATACAAACTGAGCACATTACACTGTACTATTTACTAAGGACATAATACATCAGCAGGAATATCTGTGGAAATATATCTTTAATTTATTTCCTATTTTTAAAACCGATATTCAAAGGCTGTAACCCTATGCCAGGTTTCCTTTCAGCCCATTGAACAAAGTGAGGCTCCCTTCTGATTTGGCATGCACTGCAAATAGATTAGAACATGTAATGAAAACAGATTACATTGCAAACAGATTAATAACTTAAAAATTCCTGTGTATCTCAAAGGCAAGCAAGACTAAAGAGTGCTGAATGCAAGCAACTGTAGGTAGTCTTTGATCAGTGTTGTATGCTCTATCTGGCGGCAGCAATTTAAAACTTGAATGAAACGTTTCCAAGCTCATCTAGATCTTTAAACAACTATAACTATTTGGAGCTGCCAAATATTGAATTTCTACAAGGCTTCTGCAGGCAAGGCTCCCTAATACAAACTTAGAGTTAAGTAAAAAATCTTTCTCTACAAAGAATCCATTTTCATACAATGGCATAATACAAATACACTGTTTAGAACATCCTGTAAAGACTACTTCTTGCTCGATCAAAATTGGTTAATATTATTTGCCATTCTTGTAATATTTATTTATAAGGCTTCTCAAAATAATACATTTTAAAAAACGAATTTTGGGAAAATAGATATCTGAAACTAGGAGCTGATTTTCAAGAAACAGACCTTTCCAGACTCTAGAACTCCCTCTCACAGGAGGCCCACCTGGCCCTGTCTTTGCTCTCCTTCAAGAACCAGGTGAAGACCTTTTTCTTCAAGGAAGCTTTCCCTTAATTACTGGCTGCCCGAGTGGGTTCTTAAACATATAGTTTTCTTGTGCCTTTTTGCTTCAGATGTGTTTTGATGTTGCTTCTGTTTATCATATTTTACCGTAGTATTTGTTTGATCCGTTTTAGTATTTGTATACTTAGTTTTAGCTTTAAATGTTGTCTTTGGTTGAT